CTTGTAGAATTAGTGATTGATCAAGATGGAATCTATCAACTCTTGGTAATGAGTTTAAGCTCCATGTTGTCATGAATTATAAACGACCAAACTAAGACCTTGGCCAGGGCAATTGAATGAAAAAAGAAATGAGTTTCTTAGGTCATTCAATGGTCGATTATATTTGACATGAACACATAGTTGGTCGCCTATTAGGATTTGACAGTTGAACCATATCCTAGGGTGATCCAGAGCTATAAGGACAGAAGGAATTACTACATTATTCTTCTACTGGTTCTTGAGAGTAAATTGTATACTTCATACTATCCGGTCGTTAAGGAGTGTTGCTAGACGCCACCCTTGATTAGTATACTGATGTGATCAATTTACTACCAGTTTAGTATTGAACCTATGGGGTCGCACACTTACGAGTGTTCTGATCTTTGCTAAAGGATTAATTAACTCATTATTTGATGATTAAATTAAAGAATTTAATTAGTCAAATAAATTTAGTTATTTGTCCAAATGAAATATTATTATATTCTTTGCTAGCACAGAGGTTATAATTAATATTGTAAACAAATTGAAGTTTTCTATTTGGAATAGAAAATAAAATTATATCTCTTGGTTAAAATATATATATTTGATATATTTAATTAATATTTTATTATATATATATATATATATATATATATATATATATATTTTATGAGTTAGAATCCAATTGTGAATTGGATAACTTTACGTGTAAAGTCCTAAAAAAGGACGTTCGGTAAATTCAAACCCATTTGGAATGGGATTAATATTTTCCTTATATATGAAAAGTTCATAAATAAGAGAATCCAACTTTGAGTTGGAGGAATTACGTGAAGGACTCGGCAGTCACGTTTTCATTAGTTACGTGATTTTCTAATTCTCCATAAAATTCGATAAAGTTTATTTTGGAATAAACTTTTACTTACCTCAACCAAATTGGAATAGGGTTTATAGGTGATGCTATATAAAGGGTGATGGAGAAAATTTGTCATTATTAATTCTTGAGAAGAAAAACCACTTTGTGAAAGTGATAATATAATACAAAGCCAAGAGAGAAAATACAATTGCAAGAAAAGTGTTTCTTGTTCTTCTACCTTTGAGTTGAGATTTTTGAGAAAAATTTCAACACAATATTTCGTTCAATTTGTTCGCGGGTTTCATTGATCAAAGAGTTGATAGCAAGGATCGGTCTCGGTGTGGATACGCATAGAGTCTTCGCACTATCGAAGAAATTTTGAAACGAGACTCTCTTCACCAGGTACGTCTTAGATCCGATCTTTGACATGTAAATAAATTTTAAACACGAAAAAATCTGCCTAGGATTGTTATTGTCTTCCGCTGCGTGTTACGAACACCTATATGCAATCCTTCAGAATATACTTCGTGGTATCTTTATCTCTAATAAAATTTGCGAGAAATAATAATTGTCATCGTCGTAAATGTCGCTA